CCGTCCCTGGGCTGGCTGGGACAGAAGGGAGCGGCTTCCAGCGGGCGTTCCAGGGCTGCAGGTTTAAAACAAGGTTGTGCCGTTCCGCCAGGTTGAGCGAGACGTCGTTCTGCGGCAGAGTTCTGCTGCACGGGTGCGCTCAGTGGCGAGGGGTGCTGGGCAGGGGCGGGTGGAGAGACGGGAGGATTTTAGGAAGGGTAGCGTGGCAGTGGTTCCTCCGTCCTTCCTCTTACCCCAGCGAAGCCGTTCCCTGCCGAGCGGCTCTCCCGACAGCCGTGGAGCTCCAGCCCTGCCGCTTCCCCCGGCCTCCTCGGGAAGGAGACCCTGGAGAGAAGGCTTTGCTCCCAGCTCTCCTCGAGGGCGTTTGCTGCGTGGCAGAGCAGAGGGGACAGTCCTCCAGCCCCAAAGAAGAGCCCCTTTGAGCTGTTTCTGAGGACCAGATCTCTCTGTGGCAGCGAGTATGGGACGGATGGAAGAAGTCCATTTGCTTGGCGGTGTTAGCCATAGAAATCTATGAAAATTCTCTAATATACTTTTTAACGCCAAATGTGTGGTAGGATTTGAGACACCTAATGCAGGGACCACAGGAGAGTCTTGGAAGCAGAGCGAGTTCCCAGGCTCTGGTGGCTCTGAGCTGATGCCTTGGGCAGCAAGCCACGTTCTCACCAGGGCTGCGATTTCTAAATGAAACATCTCGGCGGCCGGAGCAGACCCAGGGCTGGCTTCAGCTTCTGCTGCGGTGATCACGAGCATGTGAAAGCCCTGAAAATCGTGCTGATGCAGGCAGCATCTGTACGGATCCTGCTGCCGCGTCCAGAGCGCGTGGGATGGTGCAGCTCGAAACGCCGGCTGACGAGGACAGAGCTGTCTCCGGTGCGTTAGCCAGCTGGCTGGGAGAGCTCCTCCACCCCTCCTTGTCCCTGGGAGAAGATGGTAGTGGCTGGCAACGTGTGTTTGGGTTGTCAGCGGAGAGGTGCCTGTACTGACGAGCCAAGTGGGATCGCTCTGGTACAGTCCTGGTCTTGGTAAAACCACATGGGTTGGGAGTCAGTACGGAGTTGCTTTGTCAAACACGTGGGACAGCTGAAATTTGGGTATGTGAAGTGCTGTGAGCAACCTTCTGCCTTTCTGAAGAAATGTTTCCTTCACTAAAAACTACTGACCTGCAACACGTTCCTGCAGCGTTAGCTGGGTACGTGACAGAGATCATACAAAGGGTCACCATCCGTTCGAGGTGAAGGCGATGAAAAATGAGTGTCTTGCACTAAAACTGTTCCTGGAGATTGTTGGCCAAGTGTCGCAGTCTCGCTTTTCTATTTTTAAAACTCTCTGGCCAGCTGCTGTTTGACCCTTCCCTCCACACCCACAGCAAAAAAGGTCTCACTGCTCAGAAGCAGGAAAGAATAAAGCTCGCGAACCACAAAGTGTTTTCAAATGCGCAAAGTAAGCAAGCAGAGACGGTGAGAAATACGGACTTCCCACTGATCTCTGTCAGCACGGTAACCACAGCCGATAATTCGAGTCTCTGGGGATTTACAGCTTTTAGGGGGAAAGTGTGTTTTGGAGCTGATGTCG